TACGTGACATTATTCAAGTCATCATGTGATCGTGTCACAACGTATCCCACTATTTAATGGTAGTTTACGGTGGGTTGTCTAATTCGGGACAGCAGGGTCAGTGAGTTGAGTGGGGGAGCAGTCCGCGTGAGTTGTATTCCTATAGAAGGTACAGTATCTGACTAAAAACAAACTAAATATTGTACAATAACAATATATGATTACGGCTGACCGGCTCACCAAGTTAAACGTGTGAGTGCTGTAAGGCTACGGCATAAAAGCCGTTAAGCTGAGAGGGTAAAAGCGGCCCTGGTGGCGTAACGGATAGCGCACTCGCCCGGAAAGCGTGAGGTGCGGGTTCGACTCCCGCCTGGGGCACGACTTTTGCCCATAACTCAGCATTCTTGTGATAACAAACTAAATAATTTCAGACGAAGGTGCTATGCACCGAAATATTGCAAGATAATATATATTTTAAAAAAACTTCTGAAACTTTTGGTGTCTTTTGAGTTTTTTGGAATGAAACTTTTGGAGTTTCACATCGTTACTATACATTCAGTTAACTCAAGCAAAAGAGCTGTGTCGCGAGAACGAAGTAGAACAGAGAGTAGACCAGAAACAGGATTTCGTGGATTCACACAATTTTCGATGCGGCTGTCGGTAATGCACCAATGTAGCTAGCTGGTACAGTCCTGACGTCCCAGTGTTTGTGCATTTGAGCTTGGTGTGACCGTATAACATTCGTCGGTAAAGTTTGACCACACAGAGATGGTTTGATCCTAAGCAAAATCACATGCGGATGATGAGCGTATCAAAGGGGGCTGGGTGTGAGCGGCGCCATCCCGTTTCCACTAGTTGCTGTTTCTTGCTCGCTTCAATAAATGGTGGAAGACGGGTGGCCGCCGCGTCCAAATCCAGCCCTCATCTGACATGCCCTGGCGTCCGCAGTGAACAGAACCATAACTTTTTCTAAGCCCAGTCTTGCTGTAATCACTATGTCATAATTACCTTGCCAGACTGTGCATCTTTAACGTCTTGATTTTTGCCATTCTCATCTTTCTTTCTTATAAACTTGCTGCAATTGATTTTTCTTCCTTTCCTTACTGAAGAGCACGGAAGGAGGAATATGCTTTTGCTCGGCTTCCGTCTAAGGGCACGTGCGAAACGGAAGCTGAGCTATCTCTTTGCTTTCGACCCCCCTACCCTTCAGCGTCATTTCGCTTTCCAGTCCATTTATTTTCATTCAACAATTTTTCTTGCCCCGGAAAATCCCACTGAGCCTCATGATTTCAGCTATCGCAGTGTTAGGTGCAAATAGAATTGCAGAAAATATTTCATGCATGCTTGAAACCTCAGTGGGGAAAGCAGTTTGAGGCACCCAATGTGCAAAACTAACGTTACGTAGAGGAGTTGAGGGTCTTGCTTAGGGAACAAAGGAGTTACGGGATGGGTTATTGAACTTCTCCGAGAAAAAGGAATTTTTGTCGTTATGTCCGATCCTAATTTGCCACTAAGAAGTCGCATTTGCTGTCCCGTCCAGACATGATACTATAGTTCGTTTTCTGCATGCATGGTGGTTTTTAGGCTTGTATGGATCACGAATGTGAAAAGGTGGTCCGCTTAGCAGAGTGCCGGTACCCAGTGGAAGGACAGGATGGACCTACTCAAATATGTGATGTGCAGGTGGTTGATTGTTTCTTTCGAACTATGTAGTACTTTATTCGAGCGCTTATCTATAGCTTCTTCTTTAGAATCGATCTTCTCCAACCGATCAAGTGCAAGTGGTATTTAGAACGAATCATGGCCAAGAATATACTTGTGTTTATCAACTTAGAATACTTAACTGGAAGTAATTTCACGCTATCGCAATGTTCCTTACTCGTTTTTACTTTTCTAGCATTTATGTTTTACTCCCACAAATACGTTTTGCTGTTGATACGGAGTCCTTATTGTTACGGGGGTTGATTCCCTTCCGGTGTTAATGACACCACTGATCATGATCACTGGTACTGATGTTTCTTAATCTTATCTCAGTTGCTTATCCCTTAACAGTGCTGTTCGGCTAGGAGGGGCATTTTGCGTTATCGCTGGTTCCATTTGATAGCTTCCAGTTAAGTGACAGGTCTTAATTTGATCACAGCTGTAGGCTTCCATGAAGCTGTGAAAATTTTCGAGCGTGCCACTTCGGTTAAAGGAATTTCCAGGTCTCCATAGAGTGGTCTGTACAATCTTACGCGAATCTTACCATTCAATGCCATAACTAAGCCGAACTGCGCCATCCTTTGCCATTTCCCGCTTACATCGTCAGGTCGCGTTCATACTCTGCGATTTTGAAAAAGCTGTGGTTGCGGAGACTACGCAATTTCGCAGAATTAGCGATTTCAGAGAATGAACCCATTTGTCGCGCATTCTCTGTAATCGTAGATTCTCTACCTACGCAAAGTCTGAACGCGAAGTTAATTGAGATGAAAGAATCTGATCAGGAAAGACAGGTAAAAGCCAGCTGATATCCCTGCGTGACATTCCTTATGCTACGAGGTTGCCCTTGATCTATTGTACTCGTTACGTGACACTAGAAAAATGTCATTATTCAGTAGCACATAATTCTCATTATGACTCGTGGATGCCTGTAGAGTTGATTAAAGAAGTGATACTCTATGGTTTTTCTCTGAGCTCATTTGTATCGTGTTCGCGGAACTGACTGTTATCTGTTCATGGTTGTTGCATTCTCTTTTATCCGTGATAACTACCATGGACTAATAGACCACCGACAGGTTCAGAAACTTTTTTCAAAAAACCGGCGGTGATTCAGTTACGAGCTATCCAACTGGGGCTGCCTAGTGCTGGATTTGTCCTCCACTCGAGCTTTGAAAAAGGTTCATGGTTAACTCATGAGCTGATGTTCCACAAGGTCCCCTTAGCTACAATTTCTCTTAGGAGGGGGAGCAATTAATACCACTTTTATGTTGTGTATCCATCTAGCACGAAACTGTTTGTTGTATTAGGTTGTCCGGAAAGTTCTCAGCGTTTTGAGTGTTTCACTTTAACGATCATAACTTTCTTAATACTCATCGGATTTAATCGAAATAAGCACCATTCGAATCAGCACACTTTTGCCAATGTGACATCAGTCGAGAAATCCCATAAAGAAAAAAAACTGGGTGGTCGAGAATCCACGAAATCCACGAAGGCTTTTTTGCCTGGTCCTGATTGATGAAGTATTTTCCAGCAAGGAAGTTCTGAAAATGTTTGAAAAGGTGATAGTCGGTTGGTGAAAGGTCTGGAGAATATGGTGAGGTAGAACTTCAACCCCCAATTCGTTCAATTTATGGATAGTGATTTGTGAAACGTGTGGGCGGGCGTTGTCATGCAAAAGAATCGGACCCTTTCTGTTGACAAGTGCTGGCTGCAGCTGACGCAATTTTCGGTACATTTCGTCGATTTCTTCACAGTAGGACTCTGCTGTGATGGTTTGGCCTGGTGACAAAAAGTTATAGTGGATCACACCAGCCGATGACCACCACACTGTGACCATAATCTTTTTTTCGTGAGGATTCGGCTTTGGAAATTGCCTCGGTGGTTCGTCGGCATCCAACCACTGTCCGGAACGTCTCCTGTTATCATACATGATCCATTTTTCATCACAGGTGACAATTCGGTCCAAAAACGGGTCGTTAGTTAGTTTAGTGGTTAAAGGTATTTTGGTTTATGACCACTCCTAGGTAGCTACGAATGGGGTACAATCACAAATTTATTAACGAAAGCAACCGAATGTAAGCACAACAAAAAAATTAGATCACAATAGCAACGTAGATGTGAGGCAATAAACAATAGCGATAAAACATGAAACGCCCTAAGGGGTGTTGGAGAAGGCCGAGGGTTGAACTGCACACTGGGTTGGGTGCGGAGGCGAAGTCCTAGGTCCGAAGTGAATAGATATCCTGAAGGGGGGGGGGTGTAGTCCGTTCGTCTGAGAGAAATCGGAAATTAATCAGATGGAATAGAGGGGACGTCGGGGACTCCTCGCGGGTAAGTCGGCAGACGAGTAAGAAGAAAAATCTAAACAGTAAAGTCCCTTATAGGCGGAGTGCGATTTTCCAGTAGAGTAGTAGTAGGATCTCAAGCCAAGCTTTTTTCTCCAAAGTCTTCAAATTTGAAGCAGAAGCGGTTGGCAACCCAAGGGGACGTTTTGCAGCTCAACCTCGCACTAACGATAAAACGCGTCTGGGTTGGACAACGTGGCCATTCCACATGGAAAAGATCATTTCGTTGGGATTACATCCCTCGTGTCATTGTCCGGCATGTTGACGAGAGTTTACAAAATGTCCCTCCGAGAGAAATAGCCCCCCTGGTTTTAGGCGCTATTCCTTCTTTTTATGACACGTGACATTACTGAATTACAATAAACATGGAATCCCAGAGTGACATCGGATTGGCTCTCACCTTTGCCAACCAATCCGGCTTTGCGCCTTCAGTTCCCGAAGTAATTATGAGAGATCTCACACTTGCCTGTAGGGTGGCTTGCATCGCTCCTTGATCTTTTCCAGTTAGACTCATCTAAGGCAGAGTGATGAAAAATCTTGTCGAAAATTTCATAGTATAGTTTGCTAATCATTTCCGCCATGTTTGAAAAGCTTCTCCCTACATTGCTGACGTTGCGCCTTTATGAAAATGAAAATCCAAAACTGTGCTCCGACATAAAATTTTCTATTTTGAATAGCGATTCAGAAACCCAGGAGAACCTTTGGGCTCAATCATCTATTCAACCCCCGCAATACTGTCAGTACATTATCACATCTCACTAAACTGGATAGAACACGGATGAAATCATCTACAACTAAAAATTCGGAGTGACTGCCCTACAACACCGAAGGTTCCGTGTACGTAGGTGCGAAGGTGCTCGTCAGCTTTGAGATATAGCGCACATACATATAAGTGTCAGAGAAATTTTTAGAAATTTCAACCAGCTCGTTTAACATTTATTAACGACAGGAGGAATTCATAGTTATAATAAACATTGTCCATCCCAATTCCCTCAACTTTTGGGCGGGAATACATTGCGGTGGGAGATAATGAAGTGGGTTTCGAGAATGCGGGGGCTTATGTAACGTTGATGCTGAACTTCCACGTAGGAGACCAATTATCTCCCGTTACAGATAAGTTTCAAGCGTGTTTCATCCACCATTAGTGACGTTCGCTCTTTCCTGATTTGACTGATGGTGATGGTACGGCCAGAATGGTGAAGATGAGTTAGAAGGCGTTGGCAGTCGTGTGCGCCAGAGCATCTTTCAGGTGACTCAACTCATACCAACAATGTAGAATAATACCAACCAGTATTAGGATAAATGCAAAAATTTCTCTTTCTCATAGCTTTCAATATGTGACTTTTTATTCGGGCATGCACTTGCTACACTTCTTCATACTAAAAAAGTGAAATTAAAATTTCTGGACAACTTAATAATTGTGTGGTGCCTCGTTTTGAATTGTAAAGGAACACTTTTCATGCCATGTCGTCCATGCCTAGGCCATTGTTTGAAAAGTGACAGATTAATTGATAAACTTCAACAGGAAGTAGTAGAAAGTCTTTCGAAAAGTTTCTGAAAATGGAATCATTCTGACAGCTTATATTGCGCAGCACTTTCTTTTTCGTCTCTACCATCCGAGCACATGGAAGTGACCCCTTCGAATAAGCCTTTAGTGCGACAGCTAACAACACATTATGTTACTCAAACATATATTCAAGATCCGTAAACAGCGAATTTATTTTTGAAGAAGGTGAGGAGAACAGATAACATTCTATGGCATTTGCGAATACTCTATTCCGTCCATTCTTTTCACTGAGCTAAGGAACTTGGTGAGAACTCAGCAGTCGGAAGCCCATTGAGGGTCACTCCCACAGGCAGGTATATCAGCGTGCGAGCAAGTAATTGTGGGGACATCGCCAACTAAAACGGCGCTCACCATACCCTGCGTTTCTCTGGTAATATGGTGCTGGACTTGTCTCAACGCATAAAAACACTGATTCATGCATCAAATGGCCCCCGATCTGAGCATCAAATGGCCTCCGATCTGAAATTGAGCGAAGTGCACATGTCACACACACAGTCGCATCCCAAAAATGAGCTGGTCTCCGTGAGAACTTTATCCTGTATTTCAACTGCTCATGTTCGAACGCGCCTGCATTGGATGTGGCAGCCGTTCCCAAGACTCTGTCTGTCTCCGGAGTCCCTTGTCACCTGCTAGCCATTGTAGGCTGAACTACCACTAGCAGGCAATAATCAGGAACTTTCTTTCGAAGAATTGACAGGAACCTGAATAAAATGAGCTTTTCATGAAGTACTTCCCAATAATTTCAATTTCAGTCGTTCCCTATCATTCACTTCAAACGATCATTTCGATGAAGCTGATTTCGTTCTTTTTTTCGAGGTTGGAGGACATGTTTGAGGCTAGGAGTCCTGACAATTCCAGCTCCCTTCCACGGTGTTTTAACGGCCTGTCTGTGATCATGTTGTCATGGGAATCTTCACTCGCAATGAACTAAGCGAGCAATCATTCGAGATTTTGAAGTGACGAGGGTTGATTGAGGTGGGGATGGGACCCGAAAAGCTCTATAGATGTCTTTGACGTTTTTCAACTTTTGTTTATTCCATGAACTAATACTTTTCGTCGTGGTTCGCGACACTTATGATTTGGCTGAGCGCTGGGCAAAACGCTTTTATGACCTATATAGAACATGTACCTCGTACTTTTCGTCCATTCTGCTTACAGTTATATTTTCTATCAAACTAGGACTTAACACGTGCCTTTCGAAAGATTTATGCTTCATTGAGATCACAAAGAATAACTACGTGCG